AGGGGGATGGGGCCGCGGGGAGCGTGCGCCGGGTCCTCGGGTGGTTCAGTGGAGCCGGCCAGCCCCAGCGTGAGCGTTCCGAGCGTGGCCCCGCACTCGGCCATCCTAGGCTCGTGCCTGAGACCTCTGGAGGAGCGTATGAGCCGAGACTGGCGTTTCCATCTACGTAGCGAGCCCCCAGTCCGATTTCCTAGATACGCACAGCGCAGCGTGTCTGCCGTGGCATTCGGCTCAAGTGTTTCTAGCCTCATGCATCACTGGGCTTTCCTCCGTGCATTGAGTTCCTGGATTTACAGTTCGCTACGCTGTCTGCTAGGCTTTTTGCTGCGTACTGATTTTTTTTATTTTTTTTCCTGGCTGGTAGCCTGGACACTGTATTCTCGTTAGAATGTTTGGTATGTTAGTGGTATATGGACTGCCTACGTTGAACTGATGCTTGCTGTGTCCTAGAGCTGAGGTTCTTACTCTGTCTCAAGGTCCCGGGTATCAGTGCACTGTTGCAGACATTTTGTCTAGGTTATGCTGCTGACTGCTTTCCAGAAGCTTTACACCAACACATTACTGTTCCCCGTGTGCTCGTTGCTTTGATCTGGTAGTCTTTAGTTTGCATATTCAAGTTGCTGTTGTCTGATTTGAGGTGCTAGATTCTTGTTTCTGCCCTTGGCGTCCAGCTGTTGAACTCAACAGAAATGCACAAACAGTATTTTTCTGTCTATCTTGATGTCTGTCTTTATCTTTTCCCCTTAATAGGCTATTGAGGAGGAAGGGGGGAATCCTGATGAAATTCCAGTGGTTTCAGAAAATATCATGAAGAAAACTCCAAAAAGAAGCAGCAAAGGTACAGGGCAGTTAGAGAGGATCTCCACACGGTCCCCTTGGTTTTCTAGCAACTTTTACTTATGAAATGGAAGGTTACTAATCTTTATTCTGAAGTCTGCTTTTCCTTTTGGAAAAGTGCTTGGTTTAATTTTGATACCGTTGCTGAATGGAATGTTTTGCAGTTCCAATGCTATAGCTAACGTTACTTGCCTGAGCCAGATTTGGATAAAATGGTTCTCTGGAAGAAATTTAAGCAAGATTGAACTTTTGTTCCTCAGTTCTGACCTTTAATGCCATATGTTACTGGTACTCTTACCCACATTTGTGCTCAGGTTTCTAGGGATGGGTGGTATGGTATTAAACTTACTGGACATTTATTCACAGAACTTGTGAATTTAATAAGGCAGAAGTTGGTCCACTCGAAGGATCTGTTGGTTTTCTCAAAGTTCCTTGAGATCTGTAGCAGGAATTACTAAGTAACTAATCTGCTATTTTTCTAAGATTAATTAGCACAGTTTTTTATTTTCTTTTGTAATCAAATAACATTGAATTTTTTTTTATTAGACCTTGCAGAATAACTAGCTTAGATGAAGGATTTTTAATGAAATTATTAATTTTGGTTTACACTAAAATGTAGATTTGGGAGATGAAGTTCAAATGTTTTGCCAACTAATTTGTTTGACCCAGATTTTTGTTACTACATCCAGTATGGAGCAATATTACATTTACTTTCAAACTAAAATGTAAAGTTTTAACTGGAAAGAGACTAAATGTCACAACTGTGAGTAAAAACAGAGAGATCTTTGGTAATTTGATCACATTCATTTTCAAGTCTCAGAAAAATAATGTATGTTACAGCACTTTTAGTATTGGGATGGAAATAGGCATGATGTTCCTCTTGGCTCTAAAACACCTTTCCCTTTTTTATTGTAATGTGCTTGTAGTTTTTGAGGAAAACGACATTCATAAAAGATGAAACAACTACTTAGCTCAGAGTTTCAGGAGTTACTATTTGGTGCTGAAGCTAGCTTACTGTTTTCAGTAATGTCAGTTCCGATATAATGTGTCCAGCTAGTGACTGGAGCGCTGCAGTAATGCTTACATGTAGAGTGGGTTTTTTCATTGTTTTGTGTTGGGTTTTTTGTTTGGTTTCTTTTTTTTCTTCTAGTGAATGGTCTGTAAAGAAATAAAAGGCTGAGGTAATAAATTACTGCAACCTCAGCTGAGCCAAATGTTCTGGGGAGTTCACAGCAGTGCTTCTTGAACTCGTGACAGACCTTGGACTGTAGCATGTTGCATGTTTCTCAGTTACAGAACTGGGATGGTATATGAATACTCAGTTGTGGAAAATAAAGAAAAAGCAAATAACTAAACTGAATGGAATACCAACTCTGAAAAAGTAAAATTTGAAGGATACATATTGTTACCTTCTTTTCATTCTAATGATCATAATGTTGTTAGGACGTAGACCAGATGAAGAGGGAGTAGAAGATAATGGCCTAGAAGAGGATTCGGGAGATGGACAGGTATGTGAGGCTGTGTTTTAAGTGAAATAATTATAGCATTGCTCTAAAGTTACAATGACTATTATACATACTTTTTTTCTTTTTACAGGAGGATATTGAAGCAAGTTTGGATAACTTGCAGGATATTGACATGATGGATATTAGTGTGTTAGATGAAGCTGAAATAGATAATGGCAATGCGGTAGATTGCGGAGAGGATTACAGTGCTGATAATATTCTTGACTCACTGTCTGATAGTAAAGAAAATACAGATGCAGAAGTGAAAGAACTTCCAGATCAGCCTACAGAATATGCTGTAGGTAACTTGGAGGCATCCCCACAATTTTCAGAAATTAAAGAAGAATCAAGAGAAATACCAGTAGCGATGGTATGCATCTCTTATGTGTGTGGAATCAGATTAATTTTTCCTTTTTAAATTTTTTTTTTTATTAAATAGCAAAACACTAGCTAAAGAGTGTTTGAAATGATTTGGGGTTCTACTAGTTCTCATGGTCGTTGCTTTTTCTTCTACATATTTGTAGAAATAGCATTTTTGATTTTAAAATGCTTAGATGTTGTTTGTACACATATAACTGTACAAATTAATCCAGAAAGGCTTTTGTTTTAATCATGCTTTGATCTCTCTGATTCACTTTATGTTTACATTCCCATTTTTGTGTTTTTCCTTTACTTAGGAGGACATGTGAGGTGTACAAATGCTGTAGCCTTATTTACTTCACTTCAGCTGAACAGCAACATTCTGGGAACTATATTCTAGATTATTTTTCTGTTATGATAGGGTCTTGCAGTTACTCAGTTGTTGAAAGTATTTTTATGTTGGTTTTCCATGTTCTGGTGTTGCACTGTTTATTTGACATTATCCATCTGGGCTAGAAGATAATTTTTCCCCAAAGTCAAGTGTTTAGCTCCTGAAATGTACAACAAAGCATTTGAAGAGAGTTATTCCTGTCCTGTCTAATGGAGAGGTATTAGACTCTTTGTTGTGTGTGCACATTGTGTCATCAGTCAGGACTACAAGATTCTAAAATTTAATGGTGCCTGTCCCCAATCTGAATGCTGTAGAAATAAGCTTAACCCCCTATCCCCAAGCATATCCCACCAGACACAAGTCAAATAGAAGTAAACAGAAAATAGTTTTTTTCAGTTACTAAACTACTGGTGTCCAGGTCAGGCCCTGCAGTCTTCTTTCATCAGTAAAGAAAACGGTTATTGAGGCCCACAGACTTTTTGGCTCTATGTTGTTCCTGTAGAAAAGAAAGAGTAAGAGAGTTTGCTGTTGGAATCTCCACCCTTAAAAGATTTTTCTGACCTGACCAATGTATTTGAGAGGTAATGAAGAAGCTTATTCAGTTGGTGGGGATTGGGAAGAGGTGTGGGGGTCATTGGTCAGTTTTTACCCTTGTTGGTTGTTCGCTTAATATCAGTTGTCAGTTGTCAGTGAAAGTAAAATCTTCGCTTTCTCGTTCAGGCTTCATTTGCTGTACCATTCTTTTATAGATAACAAAATGTCTTCCGTTTATTTTTTAAAGGTAGAGGTTGAAGATGTTGGAGACAGTTTAGATGCTGCTTCATCTGATTTAACTGTAATAAAGGTAAATGGTAATCAGATTTTCTTTACAAACAAAAGGGCATAATATATGCCATATAAACTGTATGCTGAAACAGTATGTGTAGGAGTAGTACACTGTGGATGCATTCTTATTCTACAAAGAATAGAAACTAATGCCTTCCTAATTGAATCATGTGGACAGAGATACATATATTTATATCTATATCTATATCTATCTGTATATCTATCAGGTCATATATAGATAATGTATGTATCCTACTGAGTTTGAGTGTTAGGCTGGAATCTTTTTCTCTGTTGTATAAACCAACTCAGTGCCTTACATTATATCTAACTTCTGTTAAAAGCATAGGCATCACATGTTGACAAGAAAGCTGAAATTGATCTATTCCTGAAATACAGGCCTTGTTTCCAGATCACTTGTGGTAGGTTAAGGACACTTGTAGCTCCAGGTAAAGCTGGCATTTCTATCAATCCTGTTTTCAGAAAGCAGACTTTGTAATGTAGACTCTAGAGAAGGGTAACATGAAGATAAACTATGTTCTATGCTACTTACATTTGTTGATTTATTTACCTGTGCAAATGCGTACTGTGTGTTCACAGTGTCTGAATTTGAGAAAGACTGAAGTTTTTACACATCTGGTAAAATCTGAAGATGTTAAAAAATAACATTAAACCTTGTGAGAAATTTATTTAAAATTCAACATTTTCAGAGTTGACAGAGGCTAAATTTATATAGTTACTCCTTAAATTCTGTAATGTCTTGGGGGGATGAGAGGTGTCATTCAGAATAACATTATGACTTATGAAATACTGATATTTCTCCTTTTTAAAAATTTTTTTCACTGCAGGAACTTGAAGAGTTACCTTCGGAGCCAGGTACTGTGTTTTGGGTTTTGTGATTTTATTGGGTTTTTTGTTTGGTTTTGGTTTTTTGTTTGTTTAAATTAAAAAAAAAAAAGTTCTGGGGATTGAAACAGTTCCATTCTTCATTTAATTATTTTTGTGTCCCTGGTTGTGGTTTTTTTTTAATGCATTACTGTAGCGTATGTTATTATAGTGGACAATCCAGGTCATGCAGGGCCATAGAGATTGGAAACCCAGTCATATCACCAGATCTGTGAATAACTTCTTTTTGAAAACATGTATTTAATGTAAAGAAATGGTTCCATAGAACTGTTACCTACAGTGGTATTAAGGAATGAGCCTTAAAAATGTGAAGGTTCTGAAAACAGATCTTGTGATATCACACTGTACTGTAGTTCTATGAATATAAATACGGGAGTGTAGGTAAAACACAGCTTTGGTACAGAACAGAAATTAAAGAGTGACTGGACCTCAGAAGAAGGAATGCGCTATCATCGCAGGAATTTTCTACAGATCCTATTCGCTTTCTGGACTGAAAACGCACTCATGCACCATCAGAAGATGCCCAGTTCTCATGTTGGACTGTCTGCTAAAAGAATTTCAGAGAAATTTAAAAATTGAACCCTCAGTGCCTTGATACGTTCAGTTAAGCATCTTGGACTCTGGAAGCTAACTAGAGAAGAAACAGAGCTGAACGATTTCATGAAGAATATCAAGGATGAGCCAGAAGGTTTTTGTTAAGTCTGTGGGGGCATTTTTCTTCCCTGTTAACATATTAGGGCTGATTTGGTAGTTTGTCAGACAGCAGTTAGCGTAGTACTTTTAACACTGTGTACACTAGGGTTTTCCAATCTCTGTGTAGCTTAGAAGTTCTCTTGGTGTTAGTGTGGCAGCCATGCCAGTTCCACATTTGTGATTGCTGTATTTCCCTGGTGATTAAATCTTGTGCCATTCTATTCCTGTTAAATCCGTAGAAAATGAGAAAATACTCGACATTTTGGGGGAAACTTGTAAATCTGAACTACTTAACGAAGAAACTTCTGAAGCGGAGCGGCCACATGCACAGGAAGCAAGTAACGTGGTGCCAGGCAAGAGGCTAGCGGAGGAAGAGGACGCTCTTGCTGCCGCTCAGTTGGAGGAAGATGCTTTAGATTTGGACAGCAAATCGGCACAAGCTATGGCAAGGAAGGAAGCAAAGCGTTTAGTTGTAGCAAAAGGGGAGACAAGTGAACAGACAATAGAGGAAGAGAAACCGGACTCTGAATCTTTAGTAGTAGAGACCCTAAGCGATCAGAGTAGCAAACGCTCCCAAGGCCTGGAAGCCTCTAGTGGGGAAACAGCGGAAAAAGGCGCAGGTCCCGAAGCCAAAGAAGATGCCAAGAAAACAGAAGACAAAGCTAATTCTGAGGAATCCCCTGCTACTAAAGAGTCCTCAACCAGTGAGGGCGGTGATCAGAAAAAGAGGTTTGTTTTTTCTCCGTTATAGACCAGATGCTATCTTTTTTTCATTGGTCGTTAAGTGATGCGAATAAGCTGTTTCCTTCAATTGGCCACCGAGACTGATGAAATTGTAGCCTAGTCCTAAAGAGTCTGTTTTATTTCTCCATGTGCAGATTTTTTTTTTTTTTAAACACAGAGGGGTTGATTTCTTTCCTTCCTCAACCTTCAAAGGTTGTTTTCTTAAATTACTCTTATTTCTGTCATCTGCAAAACAGAATTGACCATTTAAGGATACGAATCCCATATTTCCTGTCACTCTTCTATAAATTTGCAGAAATAGACTTTATTTCAGAACTAATTTACTGGTAGGTATCCAGTTTTAGTGCACAACCTAGAATTAATGTTCTCTTTGCATATTATTGGTTGAATAATGTGGTGTTTTGTCTTTAGCCCTGTTGAGGAGGACAGAGATACAAAGATAATCTCAAAGGATGAGAAAGGTAAGGGTTTTTTTTTTTTTTTAAAATGTACAAATGACTTGGAAAAATATGGTAATGGGGTCAAATCTAACCATTTCTTGTGACTCAGTTGTAGTAAGGTGAACATTGAATGGAGACTAATAAGAGTTCTGCTTGCTTTTTGACGCCTTTCTTGCATTGGTTTTTTTTTGTGTCTTAATTGCCTAAATATGTGCCCATATTCACTGTAATAGTTATAGCGGAGTGGTAGCTTTGTGAATGGTGATAGATAGCGGCAAGACCAGGACTTGTCTGAAAAATCTCAACAGATGCCTAAATATATAGGTTTATACTCTGAGTGACAGTTCTGGAGGTGACTGTTAATTTAGTGAACTCTCAATGCAGTTGTAACAGAGGCCTTCAAAGCATGACTTGTAAATTACATTTCATATAACTTCTGTAACCTTACTAATTGTGACAGGCTTTTTTAGAAAAACAAGTATCTTGTAAATTAACATTTAATACTTTGTAGTTCTCATAGAAGCGATTGAAGTGTAGTAATACAATACGTAGATGAAAACTCATTGAGACTACTCAAATATACATCAGGTATGCACTTCAGAGGTTCATTTATGCAGGCTGCAATGTGTTTATTGATTTTTTTTTTTTAAGATTGGAAGACATAAAAGTAAAATTGCGTTTGAATAGGTTTCTGAAGAAAAAAAAACATTTGTAGGGTGTTTAGTTTTTCACTGTTGCATTCTCGTGCTACATGGTCCTTTTATGTTTGGCTTTTTTGTACCTTAGGCCGTGCTGGTAGTGGTTCTGGCAGAAATTTGTGGGTTAGTGGACTTTCATCCTCTACTAGAGCTACAGACTTGAAGAATCTTTTCAGCAAGTATGGGAAGGTATGTAGTGGTTATGTAAATTAAGAAACCATTTTATTGAAAAAGGATGACCCTAAATTTAGCTCTTATTTTTCCTAATTAATAACTGCATAGGCTAAACACTTAACTTTCAGATACAGATTTTGAAAAGAATGCTAGAAACTAACATACTTTATAAAGACGGTTGTCTGACATGCAGCCTAGGAGTGACAGAAATTCAGGTTTCAGAGAATCTGTGCAGATACCTGTAAGAATGAGGCAATTATTGACAGGAGAGTCTGGTGGGTTGTCATCGAGTGCACTATAGTCTAAGTATACCTCTTGGGTGTCCGGCTATAGTTAATGCTCTTCTAAACTGTTCCATTTCAAGGGGTATTCCTTTGAGAAATCTAGTCTTTGAGGGCAGGCTTCCATTTGTTCTTCAGTGCCAGTTAGGTTATGAGAGCAGAAGTTGCGGAAGGGAATTCTTTCCATGACCATCTCCCCTTCCTCCTAATACATTTCTGAACGTAACATTAAATGTTTGTGTTGCTAAGCGTGTGCCTCTGTGCTGTCAGAGATTGTCGTCTGTGGATAGAAATTAGCAGAGGTGTCCTGTAAGAAATGACAAAGTGGCAGTAGTTCCTGTTTTATACTTTTTTTCAGAACAGGTAGAATAATCTTGAATTTGAACACTTTCATCTGTGTTTGTGTTGCTGTTGACAAGGGTGTAAATGCTGTTCACATGATACTCTGTTAAGTAGTTTAGTCATGCACTTCTAGAACGCGGTTGCCTGACAGTATAGAGGTCAAGTTAAAACGGTAACGTTTGCTGCCTGTCATATAAGCCTAGCGCCGCTGTCTTCTGAGAATGCTGATGAAACATTGTGTGCCAAGCATATTTCCTCCCTGTTAAAAGGAGCTAAGTGCTACACCGTGTGGTACTGGTGGACAGAGCTGCTCAGGTGGTGACTAAGTTAGAACTTATTTGGCGACAGATCTGCAAACACAGGATAATTTTTCTCCCAAAGGTGGTCGGTGCAAAAGTAGTGACAAATGCTCGCAGTCCTGGTGCTCGCTGTTATGGCTTTGTTACAATGTCAACATCTGAAGAAGCCACTAAGTGTATTAATCATCTCCACAGAACAGAGCTGCACGGAAAAATGATTTCTGTGGAGAAGGTAAGCGGTAGCTGCTTTTGTGACAGTGTAATGAAAATAAAAGTGTGTGAGTTTAATGTCTGTCTCTTATTGTAAAAATATTTCTGGCTAAAATTCTAGGCAAAAAATGAACCAGCTGGGAAAAAGCCTTCAGACAAAAAGGAGGGTGAAACAAGGAAGGAAAAAGACAGGCACCATTCTGCAGAGTCCAAATCTGAGAAGTAAAGTGTTTTATGCTATTTTTCTATGTTTAAAGGCTACTCATTTGAAATGCAGCCACATGACCAAAGTGAACAGTAACTGTAGTAAATCTGTTTGCTGCCTCATACTGCATCTGAAATAAGAGCAATATTTGAGAAGGTGAAATCTGTGTTCTGCAGCAGCAAGTGAATCTTAATTGGCCCTCTGTTCAGAAAGATGGAGCTCTTTGGGGTTTAGTATCAAAACTTGACAGTTATATCAGGAGATGGCTAATGAACTCATTTCTAGATAAACCAATATTTTTATCAGAATAATTCATCTTCTGATGTGACTCTGACTTGGTCTGCTCTTCGCAATGACAAATATTTCCAGGATTTCAGTCTGTCTTTTTGATAGGCTGTTTGCACAGTTAGTGAGTGATCGGTATTTGTTTTCCAAGTGGTCTGTTGCTTTTAAAAGAGGCATTTTGCTTTACTACTTTTTGTTCTCTTGTAACATTTTAAAAGATTTGGCAGAGGAGATGCTTTGGCAGGCTGGCCTGCTTGCATGTGGTGTTTTAAGTTATTTGTTTACAAAAGCTCTTCTGGGGAAGCTCAGCCTTTACCTGGGTGGGCTCTCTTACCCCTGTGCTAGACATGAACTAATAGGCAGAACAGAAAACATTACTCCTAGCAGCTGAAGTCTCCAAATACTCAGAAGGATTATCTATTGTTTCTCACTTAGCTTAGTATTGTTTGCTGCTCTTAATCATTTGTACAAGTATACATTGGCTTCAGCACAGCAGCATGGAAGGTACTGGGAGGGGGTTTTCTGAGAGTATGTTTTAGAGGATTTTTGTGTTTTGGTTTTTAGGGTTGAGTGATTTGGGGTTGGTTTGGGGGTTTTTTTGGACGTGGTTGGCTTGATGGGAGTGGTTGTATAGTGCATTTTGTTAGGTTCTGTATTAAAGCAAAGTTCACCTATAGGTCTGTTGGTATTAAGAAGGAGGAGAAGACCGACAGAAGAGAAGATGCTAAGAAATCAGAAAAAGATGGAAAAGATGAAAAAGAAGGAAAAGAGAAAGATGAACAAAAGGCCGGATCCTGTGATCGATCTAGGGCAAGCAAATCAGGTAATTCTAGTTGCCTTTCAGAAATGTTTTCAAGCATACTTATTTAAAAAAAAAAGTAAAAATTAAACTGGTACAACCACTGTGACAAAGCTTCTACTTTGCATCCAGAAAAATTTCCCTTATCAGCCAAGTAGGAAATGTAGGACCAAGCGTAAAGTTTTAGAATCTTGGTTGATGAGAAGACTTCAGCTTGTGCAAAACTCAGTGTTCTTATTGGGTGTGATTTAGTAATTCGGTAAAAAGACTATGAGGCGTACTTAGTAATACTGAGGTTTTCTTGTTGGACAGAAAATACCAGAAAAATACCTTGAAAACTTTTTTTGTGACTTGGAATTCTAGTAACTTAGCAACAGTTTTTATAATTACTGGGCTTTAAATACTTGAAATGGTAAAGTCTGAATTTTATGGAACTACTGCTAGGTTTAGACCTAACAGTGTGTGGTTCTTTATGCTTTATTTTTGGTTTTCTTTTGTTTGGTTGTTTTTTTTAACTGTGGCAAAGGAACATGTTTTGCAGATGGAAGAATGAAATTAAATTTGCTTTCTTTTAACTGTCATCCCTGCCAGAAAAAAATACTCTTAGTTTTGTCATAGCTTTACTGCCCTCAATCCCCAACTTGGCCAAATCTTGGTAAGCTATTTAAATCATAAATGTAATCTTCCATAAGTTATTTTAAACCTCAGTAAAATAACTTTTTACCGCTAAGTATCTTGAAAATTTTGGATCTTGCAAGACTTTTTGTATATCTTGCATATTATTTATTCTCAGATATATTTTGTATTCTAGCAAGTCGAGGAGCTGAAAGGACAGTGGTAATGGACAAATCTAAAGGAGAACCAGTTATTAGTGTGAAAACTTCTACATCAAAAGAGAGGGTAAGTACAACTTCGAGAAGCCTTTGTGTAACAATAGGTGTCAAATAGCTTTAGATGCATGTATTTGAAAGTGGGTTTTTTTTTGCCTTGCATATTTGGAAGAGTTATAAAAGGATAACTTTTTAGAAGGCATTAAGGTGTAAATGATGGTGCAGAAGTAAATGCTTATGCTTCACCACCTTTATAGTTTTTGTTGCTGCTGCCTTAGTTGAAGTAGAGTTGCAATGTGAGAATGCTGTTAAGATGATGATTGTAGAGTGTGGTAACTAGTGACCTTTAAAACGGTGTATCATTTTCCACCAGTGAAAGTCAGATCATGTGTTCTTAGTATTTATATATATTTAAAGTCTTTAGAAGTTCTAGCCAAATTCGGGGTACTTTCCCTGATCTGCTTTTCCATGAAATTCCAACATTATTTACCCCGAGAAGGTATTGTACTCTGTTTTGCTCAGGTCAGCATAAGGTAGGCCTTTTGCCTAAGAACTTTAGCTGACCACAGTGTATTTTTAGCTAATGTATTGTTTTTATTTAAATCAGAGTACAAAAAGCCAGGATCGCAAATCTGAGAGCAAAGAAAAGCAAGATATTTTATCATTTGATAAAATCAAAGAACAGCGAGAACGTGAACGTCAGAGACAGAGGGAGCGAGAAATCAGGGAAACAGAAAGACGCAGGTGAGTTTTTCACAGTTTTGCTCTAAACTTTGAATGGCATTTGGTTTTACTTCCCTTATCCGTGTTTCTGACCAGGCTGCAAAGTTGTGAAGTAGTGTTGTGCTGGCCCTCCAACATACTGATTTGATACTGTTCTGTTGCTAGAACAGACCTGATGCCAAATTATGCAGGTTTTTAGTACTGAAATTGATCTTCTCTAAGCCTATGCTTTTTGTGCGACTCTTGCTGAATAACAACTTTCTAGGTGCTTTCAGTTCTTGTGTTCCACTTGATCAGATTTGAATTTACATAATTGATTTTTTTTTTTCCCCGGAGTTCAAAAATACTTTCTATTTGTCAGACTTCTGTCTTAGGACGCGCTGTGCTTTATGAAAGCTTTTTCAGAGCTGACTTAGAGTAGATATCATGTTACTTAGGCAGAATGCTTACCCTTTCTTCTTTCATCTGTTCGTTACTTGCCCACCATCCCACTAAGCAGCTCTGATTTAGTTGGGAAGATGTCGTTCGCGTTTAAGCAGGTAGTGGGAAGAATGTAGAAACTTTTTTTTTTTTTTTTAAAAAGCAAACAAGAAACCCCACTGTGTGAACCAGCAGAACCACAAAACCACACAGATGAAACGCAAATAATAAATTTATTCTCATTACCTCATGACCTGGGGGATCTCTGCAGCAGCACCAGGGCAGAGGAATGCAAGTGGGGACGCTGGCACCATGGAGCTTGGTCCTTTCTAGCCAGAAAGAGGAGAAGAAAGAAAAGATCTCAAACCTGCTGCTTTCACCTGTATATATTGTGAATTTTTGCAGGCATAGCTTTCCACTGTGCTTTGATCTTGCCCACATCAGGGCAGGAATCTCAAGAACGATAGGTAGGGTGCCTCTGAGTCCCCCAGAGGCCTGTATTACCTAAATTCAGACATCTACCTGTCAAGCACACAAAACTAAACAATAATTAGTATGATACATGTGAAAACAAAACATCTCTTTTCCAATTAGAGAGAGAGAGAGGCGAGAACGAGAACAACGACTTCAAGCTATTCATGAGCGGGATGAAAGGCAGAGGCTTCAGAGAGAACGAGAAAGACTTGAATTTCAAAGGCAGCGGCTTGATAGAGAGCGCTTGGAGAGAGAGAGATTAGAGAGAGAAAGAATGCACATAGAGCAGGAAAGGAGACGAGAACAGGAACGGATCCAGCGAGAGAGGGAAGAGCTGCGACGTCAGCAGGAACAGCTACGCTACGAACAAGAGCGGCGATCTGCCATGAGAAGGCCTTACGATCCTGATGGCAGGTAACAGTGACCGTGATGAGATTCCAAACTCCTCAGCCGCATCCAGTTACAGATAAAGCATTCTAAAGCCTATGTAAATTCTGAGTACTTTTGCTAAAGCAGTCATGGGAGCTCACAACCGAAAAACTCTTTACGTGTTGCTTTTAACACTTTAATACCAATCTTGAGAAAGAGCAAACGTCATACTCGTATACCTGTAAGCACAATTTTATTACAACAGGATTAAAATTCTTATTTCCAAAAGAGGAGTGACAAAGAATAGAAACCATGCGTTTTGTCTCCAAAGTAGAATTGGTAGGGGGAACAGATACTCATTCTCTTCTTGCATCAGCACATACTGAGATTAAGATTTTTGTATAGTGTCAATACACCTAGCTTCCTCTGAAACTGGAATGTGATGCCTGCTTAACACACAAGGGGTTTGATTATAGATCAAAAATAATTGTTAGGGTAATTGGATTAAATGAGGTTGGATAACACGAGAGGAGGAGAGGAAAATTGTTTTGAGATTGTTAGTAATCGTGACCTTTTTTTTTTGGTAGGCGAGATGACCCATACTGGCCAGAGGCAAAGCGAATGGCAATGGATGATAGGTATCATTCTGAATTTAGCCGTCAAGACCGATTCCACGACTTTGACCACAGGGATCGTGGCCGATACCAAGATCATTGTATGGACAGGTTGGCAAGGCAGTGCCTTTTCTTCCTGTATCTTTATGGGAATGAGGTGTCTTTTTGTGGCTTACTAATGGCTTCAATGGTGTCAAAACAGAAGAGTGAAACAAATGGCCCTTGTGCATTTCTTGTGTCTAATTTTATATGTGCTGGCAATCATGTGTTTCCATCATTTATGAACATATCAGAAAGAGGTCAAGTCCTAATGTAGTCCACTGTGATGCCAAGGGAGATCCTACAGCTTCTCTCAGGATGTATGGAAATCTGGTCTATGACTCCCTGTTGCTTAGTCTAAGATTTAGCCATTTCCTTTTGCTTCAGAACTTTCCCTGCTTTCATCTTTGCAGCCTAGCTAACTCAGATTATTAGTTCCACAGAATGCAAGAAATAATTTGTGTAGTGCTATTGAGACTTCTGTTTTGCTCTCAAAGGATCTTTGGCAAAACCCACGCTGCTTTGCTTTTGCTGGTAACTCATTTCTGATACTGGTAGGTTCACTCAAGTATTCTTCCTTGGTACCATTGAGTACCTGACCATGCCACAGTGATGCCTTGCTTACCCATATTATAGTCATGGATGTTACTTTGATCTCTTTCTATGCTACAAAACAACTTATTTGAGTGTTGTGCCACTAAACAAATATTGGCCTTCAAATTTACAGCCTAATGAAGATAAATTTTCACGTGCTATTTCATACAGACATCTGAATTACGATTACTGTGCTGATTCAGCTGAAACTTCTCTTTTTTTCTTCCAGAAGAGACAGTTCAAGAGGAATACCAGATAGAGACGGGCAGGTGGGTTATACCTAAGTAACTGCTTCATTTAAAAACCCAAACTGATGCCAAAGTGGAAAGAACAGAGTGCACGTGCAGTCTGGTTCTTAAATGCAACCACCACTGGGTTTAAGCTGTTCAAGCAGCAACTGGTTTTCCATGCTAACGTGCAGAATGTAATTTACTAAGTTACCTGCTCACTTGGGGCAGTAGCCACAGATTGGGGTGGGGAGAAACCTCCAAGCAATGGGAGCTATGGTACATCATCTTTTCAGGCTGGAACATGGTGATAAAAGTTTTCAGGTTTTTACCATCTTGTCTGCATCGCGTTAAGAGGTAGTTACTGTAGCGTCTTAAACTTAGCTGGTGAGGGATCCCTCTGGCTTTTATCCAAATGGTTTGTAGAAAACAGCTGGGGTTACAGTGGAACAAGGCAAATGACTGGAAAAGGACAGGTGTGAAGACAGTACTGAGAGATCAACCTGTCAAAAAACCTCAGTTTTGAGTAGAGGTAGAAAGTAGGTAGATCTTCTATGTTAAAGTTAAAAATCCAGAACTAGAATGTAAATCCACTAAAAAAACCTTAAAAACACCCTACCAAGCAAATAACCCCCACCCCCTACCGAACAAAAAGCCGCCTCCCACCAATGAGTTGAGCAAATCTGCCTGAATTACACACAGTGGCAACAATGGAACTGGTAAAAAATGAGACAGCTACCGTATTGTTTTCCAACAGCTTATAGAAAGGCAACCTCTGAGGATCTGATTTTTTGCAATCCTGAAAGAAAACCTGTATTGACTTGTAGCATAATTCTGTACCGTTTGCCTTCCAGCATTACCCAGATGAACGCCATGGAGGGCCCGATCGTCACACTCGTGATAGTTGGGGTGGCTATGGGTCTGACAGAAGAATGACTGAAGGGAGAGGAATACCTCCCCAAACCCGGTTAGTGCATATGAAATAAGGGAAGTGATTTGTTGATTCTTAAAACTTTAATGCTCAGTGAACCTTTGAAGGGTGACAGCAGAAGCAGTTTGACAAGTGTGAATCCTCTCTCCAGGTAGTTTCTTCCAGTATCTGGAGAAGCAAGGAATTCACACACGTAGCTCCCCCGTGCATCAGGAGAAGGGAGCGTTGTAGCGAGTACAGAAGTGCTGCTGCTCAGCTCATAGCTGGTCTTCTTGGAAATAATTTTATTTTCTGCAAACGAGATTCAGTCCTGTACTGGATGCTCCTGTAACACCTTCCAGAGTTACATTGGTGGCTAGTCAGGTTTTAAGGACATAGAGTCAGAATCTGCAATGGTGGAGGTGGGAAGCTGAGACTCATCTGGAATCATAGCGGTTTCTCTTTAAACCAGCTAGATGAGCCAGGTGTTTTTCACATTCATAACATTGAGTTCTACGTAAATATAACAGACAGAGGAATGGCAGTCAATGAATTGTTCCATGTCTGAGTATTTTAGATCATTGTGATACTAATTATGTCTCTAGATAAGAAGATGACAAGCTTTGTTGTGCAAAGGATGCTGTTCAGCAAGTTTGTGTCATTTTTCTTTGACCGGTTTTACTGCAATGATTAGGTGGCTATAGATACAGCTTGATTAACAATTTTAATACACTTTCATATGGGGTACACTGTTTGGCTTCACCCTATGCTGCTAAATGGGTAAGGGACACACCTAGAAGATGTTCTTTTATTTTTTTAAGAGATGGACGTGACTGGGGAGATCATGGTCGAAAGTTAGAGGGGCATCAAGATCGTTCATGGCAGGGAAATGTGGATGGAGGAATGATGGGACGGGATCATGAGAGATGGCAAGGTACACTTGCTGCTTACCAGTGTGATCGTGGTTTTTTTTCTATGAATTACTGCTGCTGAAATTGTAGCAGTAGTTAAAATTCCTATGGAGCTTTAACAGCATTACCAAGAACGCAAATAAAATTCTGGGAACGAGGTGGCTTTTTTATTAGGAAAACACAGAAGTCTGTATTTTTTTGTCTTTTTGTCTTTTTTTTTTTTTAAATTAGGTGGTGATAGAAGCATGCCTGGTCAGTCAGGACCAGGCCATGTGATGAATCAAGGAGGGATGTCGGGGTAAGAAGCTTTGTCAGAGCGCTTTATAATGTTTTTATAATAGTTGACCAATCTTTATAAAAGAAGAAATTCTCTGTCAATTGTGAAAAATACTACTTTCACCTTCTACTTAACTATGGATTGGCAAGTAGAAAAAAAAACCCTAAGCAAACATCTTTTCTCAGAGTCACGGTAGTATTAACTTTTCTGGGCAACTTTCAGTTTATCTGGTCTTGTTTTTAGGCGCGGAGGCTTCACGCAAGTTGGAAACCAGAGCCAGATGATGCAGAGTAGCGGAATACAAGGAACGTTTGTGGGCCAAGAGCGGACAAACAGACCAACTGAACCTCGTTTTACCCGCCGCTACTGAAAGCCCTATATATATATATACTTACATAAATATATCTTTTTTTAATGCCAGATGACAGTGGTGGTGAGTTTTATTAAAACAAGGTCACCTTGAATTTGTGATTACAAAAAGCAAGACTGCTGCTGTGTTATAGCCAAATAATGTCAACGTGTCAGTTTGGTTTCTTTTTTTTTTTTGTAATAAATGTGTTCTTGGTCAAACATCACAAGGTTTCTGTTAACAAAACATTCCATTTTTCAAAAATAATAAAATCAGTTTATGGCTACTACTTTCTTGCTTCTAGAGTCTTGAAGGAGGATAGGAGGCATTAAAGGAAAGGGAGAATTTGCTTACCACACCATGAGATCCCAAGGGATAGTTACCAAATAGTTACCCCCTCAGAACAGTCTCCCTGAAATGGTCCCTCCCCAAATAGTCTGTGTTGTCATGTGTCGTTTCCCCCCCCC